AATTTTCGCGTTCATTATGGAATAAAGTTACATTAGCATACATACTTATGCTGATTATCATACGTAGTCAATCCAAGCTTCCAAGTTGTAACTAATATAGCTTTGATGATAATGTCTGCCGGCACCATATCTTCATTGCCGTTTTTATCACAATAGAATACATGAAACAATCCTTTACCAGTTACAATTGAAAGTCCTATTGGACCATACATATTATCTATCCATCCTGGAAATGGTTCCTTCAACGTTGGGTACACTAAAATAAAATAGATTTGTTTCTTATATTGTTAGATTATATTATTTGATTATAGTAATATTGTTAAATTATTTCTTGCCTATACATTATGATTCAAAATAAAAAAGAAAAAAAATTGTAAATATAAAGTCCTACAAACACATTTTTATTTTTGTTTAATCTAATTTTTTATAAAAAATATCAGCAAGTTTATTTATTTGTTACAAGAAATGACATGTTTTATGACTGGCACTATCTAAATTTTATTCCAAATTGTTCAAAACATTTCATTATTGTATATTTGACGCACAACTATATTATATATATAGGTATATATATATATATATATATATATATATATATATTTAATAGCTATATTATATATACACAAAAATTAACGTAAGTATAAAATTATTATAACTAAATTATAGATACTACATATTAAATTATAATTAAAGTAATAAATTAAAGAAAGTAGTTCGTCTTTAGGTTGAAAAGCTTGTGTAAAAAGTTTTTGTTAAAAGATTAATTTAAGTAAAGTTTTCAATTTTTTATTTAAAGAAATACGGTAAGGTCATGTCAATGTAAAATATGATTTATACTTCTATCATTTATATATGTTAGCTTTTTGCAAAGTTCTTTTTTATCAGTCGTCTTAAGTGGAACTCTCAGTGAACAAATTGACCAGCTGCTATAATATTTTAAATTTGACAATAGCTCGTCTGAAGTAACGTTTGGTGGTCTCAAATTCTTTCGGATCTTTTATCTGCCATTTAAGATAAATGGCGATTATAATAGAACACCATTTATTGCACCATATTGGAGGGCAAGACAGTTCAGATAATTAAATTAATTTGGATAATAAAAACTTATTTTGTAATTTTGATAATAAGAATTGACGTCATACTTATTTTGATAATAATAGGAACTCGACTTTCAGAAAACTGTAGACAAACTCTTATTATACGATTATTTTAGATAGAAATTTAATTATAAGTTTGTATATTTGGAAGCACGAATTTGTTTGTATAAATGAAATTCAGATAAATGCAGTTTTATTAAGTATACTGATTAAAAATTAGTTTTGCGATTAATAATCTTGTTTTTCTATAATAATAAGTACGACAAATCTTTGCAGCAACTAAATAAAATGTAGTAAAATTTAAACATGAAAACTAAAAAAAATATCTTGATTATATCAACACGACGTATATGGTAGAATAAATTTTAATACGACAAAACAGAATTTTTGATTATTATGATTGGACTCGATATTTTATATTTTATAGCTAAAACATTTAATAAACTTAACGATTTGGATCTGATTAATATTTATAGTTAGACCTTATATGTATACAGGGTTCGGTAATAATGGCATCATTTTTTGTGGGCTGGTAGAGGAGATTAAACTGATTGTGAGAAAAGTTCTTTTACCATTTTGGACATTTTGTAATTTTTGCAATAGTTAATGAGAAATTAATTTATGAAGATCTGCACCTACACGATTCGGTGATAAAAAGACAACCCGATGTTTACGATTTCTTATACGCAAATATATATATTTTACAATTATGTTATATTAGGTATTTGCTGAATATATAACACAACAGAATAAAGGTACAAATTCGACATACCTACTCAACATAACGCATTAGAATAAAAAAATTCAGTTGTATAATAATTAAAAGAAAGATTACTTACCCATGGAAGGTCTTACAATCGCGCAAGGAAAAAATAAAGAATATTCCTGTATGATATCCTCTGCTAAAGTTTTCGAAAAAACGTACGTATTAGGAATATAATCCA